CAAGCGAAAAACTTTCTTCAACCACATATCATTACTAAAATCCAGTTGCAAGAAAATTAATGAAGATCCAACCAGATTTGAATGATTCACAGGGTTACTTCCGTCTACTTTCAAATTCTAACTTAAAATTGCCACACTCCCAATTTGTGTCTTCTGCCCAACTCTCACATAACATGCTTCTCCTGTTCCCTTCAACTATCCTTAGTAGAGTTGTTGCCAGATTTTTCTAAGAAAGGTTCTTGGATTTTTGTTGCCAGGTCTTGAACCTTGGACTGCATTTTCTTTCATATTATTGACTGTTGGGTGAACCTTTGTTGATCCTTTGATGTTCTGAACTTCAAAAACATCTACTGCCCTTGTTGTTTGACCCTGAGTGTCATTCCCTTTAATTGTGGACAACTCCAGTCCTTCAACCCACGGGACAAGTGGTTCTTCATCTGGTTTACTGCCCTTCCGACCTCTTTCTTCCTTCTTCTCTTCATCATTAGCTAAGTACTCTCCTTCTTTAGAGAAATTCTTGCCTTTCTTGATGTCTTGCAGAAGTTCCTCTTTTGCTATGTAAACAACCTCAACTGGGTTGCTCCCTGACACCATTGTTTTAACCCCAGGCCTCAACAATTCTTCCCCCTTCTTCACTGTTTTGACAAACACACCACAACCTACCACACTATCTCCACTAAAAACAACTTTTGCAACATTCTCAGCAGCAGCTTCTGTGAGTTCTACAGTTTGGACTAACTTCTCAAAAATAGAACCTTTATCTCTTCTTCTGTTAGAATATTTACCCTATTTATCATGATTATATTATGTCTAGGGTTACCCTATTTATCATGATTATATTGTGTCTAGGGTTACCCTATTTATCATGATTATATTGTGTCTAGGATTATCCTATTTATCATGATTATATTGTGTCTAGGTTACCCTATTTATCATGATTATATTGTGTCTAGGTTACCCTATCATGATTATATTGTGTTTAAGGTTACCCTAATTATCATGTACTCTTGTATCAATTTATTTTTATAAATAGAAGATTATGAGAGGGATCAATCAAGTCCTCAAGAATTATTTTATAGTTTCAATCTCAAGTTGGTATCAGAGCAGGTTCTCCGAGTCTCTTCCTACTCTATATTTGTTGCTGTCGGTGGTTAGTGACCGCCGCCACCGACGGCCTTAAAAATTTCATCTTTTTTGAAATACCTCAATGAGCAGTCCCGTTCTGATTTCTGTCTAGTCTCAAAACCTTTGTCCGCAACTGTCTGGCACGTTTTGTCATTGTACAGCGCCGTTTGCCTCGGTCCGACGTCGTTTGTCGCTGTCCAGGCACCGTTTGCAGTTGTCTGGCACCGTTTGTCGTTGTGTGGTGCCATTTGTCGTTGTCCACCTGACACTGTTTTCCACTGTGAGGAGAAAGTTTGTCACCATCAACCTCTGTTCCTGACGCTGTTTGCCACTGTCCGCGGTTTACCACTATCCGTCCCTGTCCGCCACTGTCCTTTGTTTCCTACCGTCTGTCGTTGTACGCTGCCGACCATTATCTGTCATTGCCCGCTGCCGACCACCGTCCGCCATTGTCTGCTGCCGACCATCTTCTACTATCTTTCGTCTCCATTTGCCGCCACAGTTTAGTCCGACAACTAGTGGATCTAGATCGTCTCCTTGAGCGAGAGGGCTAGTTCTCATCTAGGCGCCGCCACGCGCGCCACATGTGTCTGACGTCCGCCTCCGCCGTTGTCACATTTTCTCTAGCGAAGTTAGGGGTTTTGTGATTCTTGAGGAGCGCGATCCATCCCTAGTCGTTGCCTCATTCTCATTCACATGCACTATCACACACGACTTCTCGCTGATAAGCTTCCGGCGCGTGTTTATCACACGCCACCTTCCTAGTGTCGGAATCACACCGTGCCACTGCCATTCGTCTCGTTCGACCAAATAAAAAAAGCTGTCTGTTTTAGCATTATACCTCTGTTTCAGCATTCTTCCTTAGCCTCCTTTCATAATTTTTGTTTAGTTTTGCATATTGTAGCAGTTGTGATGTTCTTGATGACTTGTGTCATTTATTTACAAGTATCTAAGGAGAGTCGATGTTATCAACGGTTAATACCAAGGAATTTCAACACTAAAGTCATGGGTTGAAGGTTGCTCATGATACGAGGGGAAGTCTATTTCTGGCAAGATTAAGAATCTTAGTCAAACAATTTCACCAGCCCTTGTCAAATTTGTTTTTGGATGATTTGATGAATTATGGAGATCATTATGATCTTCCACCTTCACGATTTGTCATTAACGTGTCATCATTTCCGTCGTTTGCCGTGAGGGGAGTGTTTTTCAGCCACTACAGGCCCCATCAATCAATGATGGCAATTTATTCCTTATAGTTTGTCGCTTTCAACCACTACAGGCCCCATTAGTCAATGATGGTAGTTTAGTCCCTGCAATATGTTTCAACCACTACAGGCCCATCAGTCAATGATGGCAGTTTAGTCCCTGCAGTATGTTTTAGCCACTGCAGACCCCATTAATCAGTGATGGAAGTTTTGTCATTGCAGTTTATTTCAGCCACTACAGGCCCCATCAGTCAGTGATGGCAATTTAGTCCTTGTAGTTTGTCGCTTTTAGCTACTGCAAGCCCCATCCATACTTGATGGAAATCCAGTTTGTCGCTGTCTACCGCTCGTCATCCACTTTTGATTGAAATCAACTTTGTCAAAGTCATCCTACTTGGAGGTTCATGGTGCTAGTTGAAGTTTCATGGCTGTCTAATATTATTCTCCATAAGTTTATGAGGAGTCTCTTTGGTTACACTAGTTTGTGAGTTCAATTTGGTTTATAAACATTCTCTCTTGATGGTCTGAAGCATATGTACATCTTATTCGAAGCCAGAGTTACCACGTCTATTGTCTCGACATTTTAGACAAGTTGATTTTATTGGACTGAGTTTATTTATTCCAAACTTGGCACATACAATTTGTATGCTCCAGCTTGAGGGGGAGTGTTAGAATATTTACCCTATTTATCATGATTATATTATGTCTACGGTTACCCTATTTATCATCATTATATTGTGTCTAGGATTATCCTATTTATCATGATTATATTGTGTCTAGGTTACCCTATTTATCATGATTATATTGTGTCTAGGTTACCCTATTTATCATGATTATATTCTGTCTAGGTTACCCTAATTATCATGTACTCTTGTATCAATTTATTTTTATAAATAGAAGATTATGAGAGGGATCAATCAAGCCCTTAAGAATTATTTTATAGTTTCAATCTCAAGTCCTCCAAACCCCCTTATCAATGCCTCTTTCAGCTCTTTCCAAAAAGGGTTCTTTGATTTTATTTTTCCAGGCCCTGAACCAATAGATTGTGCCTCCCTCCATGCAGCTGTAAGCCAACCTGAGCCTCTCCTTCTCTGTGACATTTTGGATGTCAAAGAACTTCTTTGCCTTAGAGATCCACCCCAACGGGTCCAACCCCCTCAAACCTGGGCAATTCTACTTGCTTCCTCCAATTCTGTTCACCCATGTCTTCCTCCAGCTCTTCTTTTGAACTCTCTTTCTGTCCTTTCATGACAAATTTCTCATTTCTTTCTAAGCCATTTATGTGAATCTTGATTTCTTGGATCATTTCTCTCATTTCTTGCATATTTCTTCTCCATTATGTTAGCTCCCTTTTCTTTTTGCTGGCCCACCTCTTCACAGAATCCATCCTTCCTTTCAGGGCATTTATTCTTCCATCCCTCCCTCCCTCCCTTCTAATGATCCAGCACTCCTCTCCTAAGAAAATCCGGCGGGTCGGACCACTGAAAAGAAGTCTAACTATCACTCAAAACAGCTCACACTCACTCACCAGATTATTGGAAATAGAACTGTATTATTATTGTAACCAAAGAATACAAGAATAGGAGAGCACTCCCTCCTCCAAGGGTTTCCCCTTCACAAAGAGTCAAAGCTCAATCTACAAGATTATTCAAAAAGTACCCTGACACAAGACCTCCCTACCTTCTTCTAAAGGCCCCGTAACCTACTAACCAACTAACAACTAATTCCTAATCTATTTCCTTTTATTTTGCACACATTATATCCTAACAGAAGCAGTAGCACATGAGAAGTATGTCGTTATTTTACATAAAAATTTTCTATTACTGTCCTTGTATAATGGTAACAACTTCATCAAAGCTCGGGACTCCTAATTTTACATAAAGATTTGTATTCTGACTCGATCAAATTCAGGATTTAATCCTATAAAAAAATCACAGACCCTTTCTTGTTTGATAAATTCCTTCAAAACAGTAGCATCTTTAATACAATTTGTCTTAATTACTCTCTACTGTTCTAATTCTAATTCCATCCAAAGCGTCTTATGTGGTTGGCATATTCTGTGACAGATTTTTTCCCCTGTTTTGCAGCTACTGTTTTTACCTTTAAAGCATACATTTGAGCAGCAGTTTTAGCCTCGGAATAAGTCTGCTCTATTGTATTGCAAATATTTTTGTTAAGAAACATAATGGTACCACTACTTTCTGTATTCATCGAATTCTGACTCCCAGCAACAATCAATTAATCTTCTCCATCCCATGCTGTAAAATTTGGGTCTCCATCCTTTGGTTCAGCACCATTCAAGTGGCCAAGTTTTCCTTTTCCTTTTCCTTTCAGTATTGTGCGAATAAGTTGTGACCACTTCAAATAAATTTTTTCCATTCATCCTATAATTAGGTTTGATGCCATGCAAATCTCCATACTGAATATTGTGGAGGATGCACAACTCCCCTTTTATATCAGAAAGTAGCTGGAAAGTAGATGGTAAGTCACCAGAAAGTTACTGGAAAGTTTTTGGAGCTCTGACCGTGACTGGAAAAACTGATAATCTCCAGAAAATTCTGCAGCTTCAAGAGCATAGCAAACTTACTGAAAAATTTTGTTTGCAAAAGCAAAACTACATTAGATCAGGAACTTTAAGACCATGTTAATGATAATATCTTCATGTTTCAGGAAGTGTTGGTACGATTTGCTGGTTTCGGGCCTGAGGAAGATGAGTGGATTAACATTCGAAGGCATGTCAGACCACGATCTTTGCCATGTGAATCATCAGAATGTGTTGTAGTAATCCCGGGTGATCTCATACTTTGTTTTCAGGTAGGAAAAGCCATAGCCAGTTGTCATAAAAACTTAATCCTAGTTTTTTCTTTTTTGTGTTTTTCTCTAACCAAATTTTACTTTGTGGAACATCTGATTAGTATCTTTCTTCTACATTTGACATTACAGGAAGGTAAGGAGCAAGCCCTATACTTTGATGCCCATGTGCTTGATGCTCAAAGGCGGAGGCATGATGTAAGAGGCTGTCGTTGTAGATTTTTGGTTCGCTATGATCATGATCAATCAGAGGTATTGATTTTCTTCTAAGATTTTTTGTCGTCGGATATGGTTATGATAAAATTCTATCACTTTTTTCTTGTTATGCATATGATTTAGTCCCTATAGTTTTCACTTTTCAATTAGTTTTGATTCTTATAGTGTTTACTTTTTGATGTCATTCAGCCATATAATTACCAATGAGATTTTGTTACCTGGGATTTATTTTTATGAATTGGTTCTTTTCACATTTCTTTTGGGTAAATGTATATTTATTCCTAAAGGGTACGTTTGAGGTTTCTTTAGTTATAAATTTTAAAAATGTTAGAAACTAAAACTAGACTTCAATTTCTTGTTTTTAGTTTCTATAGTAAAAAACTATGTATGAGATTAATCTCCCCTTGTGCTGAATATACATAAGGTACTCTATTTATAATAGACAAAATATGGGCTAAGCCCAAAATACAAATGATGAATAATAAAAACTAACTAAAGATAAAAATATAGATAAGATATCTATCTAAGATGTCTAATAATCTAATATATCTAACACTTCCTCTCAAGCTAGTTCCCCTCATGTTGGTGCATACAAATCGTACATACTAAGCTTGTTACAAATAAAATCAATTCTCTGCCCCCGTGAGGATTTTGTGAAAATATTTGCCTGATCACATGAATTAACGAACTTAGTCTTAATGTCTCTAGATATAATATTCTCTCAAATGAAATGACTGTTAATATCAATGGGTTTAGTCCTCTCATGAAAGACACACTTAGAACTAATATGAAGAACAACATGATTGCACATATAAGTGTCATTTGAGTGATTTCCAAATTGTAACTCTCTAAGAAATTGCTTAAGCCAAACAAGCTCACAAGTGACTAAGGCCATAACTCTATATTATGCTTCTGCACTACATCTTACTACAACACTTTGTTTCTTGCTTTTCCAAGAGATCAAGTTACCTCAAATGAAAACATAATATATGAAAGTAGACCTTCTATTAGAAGAAGATCTTGCCCAATTAGCATATGAATAACAAACAACTTTTTAATATAGTTATTGTGACCATATAACAAATATTTTCCAAGAGATCCTTTAATGTACTTTGATATACAAATGTCTACATTCCAATGATATATACAGTGGAATTGAGAAATTGATTTACCATACTAACCACAAAGAAAATGTCAAGACGAGTACCAGTAAGATAGTTCCATTTTCCACTTGATAGGATCTAAGAAAGGCTCCCCTTGATTAGGTAGGAATTTGGTATTGAGATCTATGGGTGTGTCAACAAATTTGAGTTCATCAACCTAGTTTCTTGAAAAATATCCAATGCATACTTTGAAGATAACAATACCATTGTTGAATTGTGCTACCTCAATCCCCAAGAAATATGAGTTTACTAAGAGCTCTAGTCTAAAAGTGATGCCGAAGGTGTTATTTCATCTGGGAGATGCCATGGTGATCACTGCCTATAAGAACAATATCATCAACATATACTATTAAATAAATACACCCAACAATTAGTTCAAAAAGCCATGACAAAGAAACATTGAATTCTAGCCATGAGAGAAGATGAATGCACTATAAAGAAACTCAATAAGGGAGACTCTTGACAAACTAAGAAACAAAATGCTATAAGGTGCAAATGTATGTCTGTAGTGAAGTATACGTGGGAATGAAGTTAGATTGTTTGCAAAGGGATACACTCAAACTAATGGAATTGACTATGTTCTTTCTTTGGCAACTCACTTTCATTGGGAGTTGGTCTCGTAGGATATGTAGAATGCTTTTCTTTATGGAGCTTTAGAAGAAGTGTATAAAGAGATTGCTCTAGAATTTGAAACTTAATGAAAGGATTAAGGTATAACTCGTAACGAAGGCCTTATATTTATGAAGCTCAACCAAGCCTCACAAATGTTATGTTCTCGTGTGTGACACATATCGGTGAAATGTCCAATTCGAAAGACATTTTTTTTGTTTCTAACACAATTTTGACATGCTCTAGCACAATGTTAATAAGGACAAATACAATGATTTTCTAAAAACCTATGCTTGTAAACTTATTGCATAAGTTTCTATTGAAATTGACAAGCACTTCATTAAAGATAATCTTGACTGAGGTCTTATGGTGATAACCCATACATCTTTATTGAGGGGCTTCCTTATTGTTGGAAGTCCTACATCGACTAGAGATAAGGCCGATTTATAATATATAAGTGGGTGCAAACCTTACCTTACAAGCCGGTTTTGTAGGGTTGAGTTAGGCTTGAAGTCCACTTCTTAATATGGTATCAGAGCCATGGTTAGAGCCTATCCTAGCGATATTTGTTGTTTGTTGGGCATATTGTTCCACCGGCTATTGGGCCTCAGACCACCCATTAATGTCGAGTCTCATGCTCGAGATGATGTCTATACCTCGGCGTGAGAGGGTGTGTTGGAAGTCCCACATCGACTAGAGATAAGGCTAATTTATAATATATAAGTGAGTGCAAACCTCCCTTTACAAGTCGGTTTTGTAGGGTTGAGTTAGGCTTAAAGTTCACTTCTTAATATTCCTAATAGATTTCAAGATTTTGTAGAAAAGTTAGAAATGATGGATATTCGTTTACCAACTTGATAGAGAATGTTGTAAATAGGAGATAATTAGGATAAAAGTATCTTAGTATCTCCATAGTAATTAGGAAAAATTATCCTTGGTTTCTTGTCTTCACATTTACTCCATTAGACTTTATTTTGTTTTTAAGAGAATGCAATTGCTACAAACAAAGAAGTTGAAAATGTAGTTAACACGATTACTATTAATAATGTATTTCTTTATTCACTTTCACTATTCAAGTCTACCCAAGGTATTATAGGAAAAATGGAAGTTGCTTCTAATGTGCTGTTCGGAAAAAAACTTAAGGGTTGCTGAAAAGTTTTAGTGGGGTGTTAAGGGAAAACTCTCAGTAGGAGTCATTTCCTTATTGTGACTGTTGTTCAGTCCTATTGCTTCACGGTGGTGTGATTTGAAAAGAGCAGAAGGTTATTTACAAGTTTGTTTTGACTGCTATAACTGGTAAATGTTCTGTTGAAGGTCACTACTCAGTTTGATGCATTTTGTTGATCCACCCCCATCTTGTGTTCTTGCCAGGAAATCGTGCCGCTTAGGAAGATTTGTCGCCGGCCCGAAACTGATTACAGGTTACAGCAACTTCATGCTGTTGTGAATGAGGTAGCTTCTGTGGATCAACAGAAGACTGGTATGGATCCATCAGTACCAAAGCAGCTGATTGCAGCAAGCATTCATATGGAGACTCCTGTTGTGCAAACAAATGTTCCTCAAACTCCTCAAGGTATGGATATGGATGTAGATCAAAAGAAAGCTGAAACAAACATTGATGTTCCATCAGTAAACTCTACCACCACCCCAGGCAATGCCCCATTCACTAGTGTCATTACTACAAGCAGTGTTCCTCAAGTCACTACACAGACTCAGGACATGGTTGAATGAAAATAGCTGTTTCATTTTTTCAGACAAAATGGGACTTACTTGAGTACATTATTTTAGTCTTTTAGAACTGTTAACTATCTGGGTAGTTTTTCTTCAGCAAACAATGCTTATGAGTAACTCTCTCTAGCTGTTCTATTCGAACCATAGAAATTTAGAAGAAAACAAGATGAAGTTATACATTTGCTGAGGATATACGGGGGCATTCTATTTTCTCGCATAAAGAGAAAGAATCTGTCATATTAGTAATTTAGATCTCACTAACAGTTTGCATGCGATTTTGGTTCTTAATGTGTTAGATTTTAGTTGGAGTAATTCTTTTATAAAAAAAAAAAAGTAAGCAAATTTATCTTTTGTTTATTTTTCTATTTCACTTTTTTATTTTATTTTAAAATTATTTTTTCCAAAATAGTTTCTATGTTGCTCATTAATCTCTCATCTAATTTCTGTTAAGTTTTTAAAATTAATTCCAAAGGCTGTTTGAAAAAACAACGAAAGAACTGGGTGGAAAGAAATAGAATCCAGAGGACATACGTTTATAAAATATAAATAAATATATTTTGGGTTTTTATGTTTCTTAGAAAAGTAAGAAAATAAATTTAAAAAATTTAATGTATTATCTTTTTCTTAAAAAAAGGTAGAGAATTCTAAAAAACATTTGATGTATGTAAAAAAAGGTGTAACTGAAAATAAAACTATAAATAAAAGGTATATTACAGAATAACATTAAGTACGATAATTCTTTTATAAATTTATTTATATTTAAAGTGAACGACTGTATCAAAATTTTCACAACAAACACTAGTAGATTTTGACATTTTTTGGTACAGCAGAAAGAAAATTCAAAAACAGGGTTACCTTATTCGCCAAATATATTCAGAACCCCGTGGATGCGACTAATTCACTGCTTGAGATAGTGACACTGCTATGAAACTTTCAATTCTCAAAATTTATGATACTAAATTTTTTATTCTGAAACAATAATTCATTTCTTATGCTACCAAAAAGTATAAAGATGTGTCAATACTTATACTAACTTAACTATTCTTTTAAATTTTATAATCACACTATACTGCTTTTAATCTCTTCAATACTTACAAATTATATATAAAAGAACTAAAAACATGACATTTTAAATTATACACAGTTTTGGTGAATACAGTGAGTATTACTATCATATCAATCATATATACATATACATATATATATTTCTCCTATGACGAAAAGATTTGATGAGAGATTATGAGAGTGGGAGATCAAAGGGCGTTGATGAGTTTTTGTGCAGCAGAAGACTTGTTTTAGAGGGAATTATTTGAACTTTGATCTTCCTCTGTGGTGCTGAATTTAGTAGTGTTATTCTCAAGTGGTGAAGTTGATAAGGGTTGTTGCTGAATGATTTTTCTCTGAGTTTCATTTCCACTTGGCCCTCCCACCATGGTGTCGATCGCAAGTTGCCCAGAATAAAGAAACAGACCCACAGAGTTTATGCCGTACACAAATGTAGCCAGGTAGCACAACCCATTTATTATTGTCCTGTCACAAAATATCATCTTTGTTACTTCTTATTAATATAATCAACCTTAAGTCTCAATATTAAATCTCAACTTTTTGTATTGAAGTTTTTTTCTTATTTAATTAAGTCTCCATATCTTTAGATAAAATCTTTTCGGACCTAAACATGTATATAAAATAGTGTCTAAATTTGAAAAGTGTTATATGTTAAAATTATTTAAGAGATGTCACGAGTGAAAATTTAAAAGATGTTACATGTCAAACTAAAAAGATTAAAAATGATTCAAAATTTGACATATTATTACTTTTAAATTAATTCAACTAAATAAACCACATTTAATACATCTAATATATATTAAAACTTAATTAAATAATAAAAATATAGAAATCAAAATAAATCATACAATTAAATACATAAACCAAATTACTAATTAAATTTTAAAATTATATAGTTTTTGTTGTAAGAAAATTCACGGTGTATTCTTTTGTATAGATTTAGTTTGGTTCTCCATATTTTTTGTTTTTTTAATAATATTTTTTATGTTATGATAAATAATTAATATATTTAGAAATGTTATAATAATATTTAACATAAAAATAAATGAGAGCACTAAAGAGAGTTTAAGTTGTGAAAGCTACCTTATGGTGATTGTTATCTGGCGAACCTGAAAAAGAAAGCATTGAGAGAAAGTGAAAGTTGTATCGAAGGAAAAGTTGAAGTAAATAATTGAGAAGTATTGAATATGAGAAAAGGATGCAAACCGAAAAATGATCTGAAAGCATTTGGCGACTGAGAGAAGCTTCAATCGAAGTGGTGAACCTATAGAGAAGAACAGCAATGGCGCCTGCTATTACTGCACCTAACAATGCTTGATCAGCTGAAGGTGGATTCTTAACTTTGATTGAACTTGATTTCATTCTTTTCAACTTTTCCATAGATTTCTCTGCTCCTGAAGACCTAAATCTCTACAGCCAATCATCAAATAAATAATTATTTCTAAAAAATTGAATCAAAGTTATAATAAGAAACAAAAATACTGCAACAGGAGAAAATAATATACCAATTGTTTGGCACGTTTAATCCGGCGCTGGACGGTGCGAAAGAAGAAGACGGTGAGGGCTCCGGTGAGAAGCACGGTGGAAGCAACCTGAACGGTGGAAGGGTCATCTGAGAAGGGAAGAGAAGAAGGAGCGGAAAAAGGGAGTTGAATGGGGCCAAAGTCTTGTGCTGTGAGATCTGAAAGCCATGCGGCGGAAGGAATGGCTGAAACGGTAGATGTTGGGGTGGATGGTCGGTGGAGGAAGTGAAGCGACGGTGATAAATGGTGGTTATGATGAGCGGTGAGAGAGAAAGGAAGTGTAGAGAAGAGAAGAAGATGGTGGTGAGAGTGCACCATTGTCGTTCCTCCTACCTTAACTGAACTGCACAAAGACCAAATATGGATTTGGCTGTGGAAATATCTTGCAGTGCTTGGATTTTGGTGGAGAGTATTCCAAAGGTACATATCAGTATTCAAAATATCTCATCTATTATGGATATTTAGGAAACAAGAGAAGCCGAAGCCACTGTTTTTTGTTTTCACAATTTTACGAATGCTTTTAGAATCCACCATGTAATTAAACCTGTTGAAAGAATTGTTTTTTTAAAAATTATTCTACGATAATTAAAATATCTTAGTGTTATACTTTTATAATACTGACATCTAAAATACATATAAAAAATATTGAAATTTTAATAATATATCCATCAATATCTATTAATAATTTTAATAATATAATAACAATTTTATATATAGAATAGAAAAAGGTGTTCTTCATTTCCTTCTAAGAAAAAAGATTCAAATGGTTGCATTTAACCATTTTTCTTATATTATTATTTATCAATTTACAAAGAAAACTATGTTTATGGGAAATTTTAGCTCTACAGATATTTTTTTTATCGAGTAGTGATACGTGTACGTTAAGACACATGACTAACTATTTTTCCAGCACCAATGCACGGAAATTAATTTTTATTTTTGTTATGAGAAGAGTGAGAGTAAACCTTGAAGTATAGTGGTCAACGAACAAATAGGGTTGGAAGTCATGTCGATTGATTTAAAAATTAGGATGATTTATGTAAAATTTTAATAAATTTAATTTGCTAAAATAACGAAAATAATCAGTGAAGTTTGAATTATGAATTATAGAACGAGTTCACAACTAAACAAGTCATATAGCTAATTTAGTTAAAGTATTTGGATATTATATAAAAGGTATTAAGTTCAAACTGTAATTTTTTTTTCTAGATATTTTCTAAAATCAAATTTGAAAGATTAATGAATTTTGGTTTGTTAATTAAGAATTGGAGAAGAGTTTAAATTTTGTTATGTTTCTTTTACACCTACGTGGCTGGTATTTTTGTGTTTTATATGTTTTAATGATTGTGAATTGATATTGCTTTTTTTTCTTTTTTTATCTTATTTAGTATTTTAATGATGATTTTATTGTTTTTTTATATTTAGAATTTTTTTTTTGTTGTTAAGAGAGGAAATATCCATTTGTAAAAGATTGTTCGAAACGTAAGTCAATGTAAGAGTTAGATTTTTTAGAATATAATGAATATGAGTAATTATGAAGTGTATAAAGTGAGTATTTTTTGAAAAATACTAGTTGTACAAATATAATAACAGGTTTAATACCTAATTTTGTCCCTAGTTTGGTTGACAAATCTCAATTTAGTCCCTCATTAGAAAAGTGTTTGAAATAGGTCCTTACTTGTAAATTTGTGAGTCAAATTAGTCCCTTCCGTTAAATATAATCAAACGGAGTTAATGGGATGATGATGTGACAGTAGTTAGTAGTTACATTTAAAAATATAATTGTGTGCGTGCTTATGTGTTGGTTAATTAGAGTTAATTAAAGAAGAAAGAGTTTTGGTGTATAGGCCCAAAGCTCCTTCAGATTAGAAACTAGGGTTTCTTCTTTTGTTCTCTCTTGGGACAAAGTTTATGATAAGAAGGATGGGAATGGACATTAGTGAAAAGGTGTTGGTAGTAGCTGTGAGTGGCAAGATGGTTATGGCGATGGTTGAATATGAGTTGTTATCTTGACTGAGAATGGAGAAATTGATTTAAAAAACCCAATTTCTTAATAAAACTCTTTCTTCTCTAATTAACCAACACGTAACCACGCACACAATTATACTTTCACACGTAACCACTAACTACTGTCACATCATCATCCCATTAATTTCGTTTGGTTATATTTAACGGAAGGGACTAATTTGACTCACAAATTTACAAGTAAGGACTCATTTCAAACACTTTTCTAATGAGGGACTAAATTGAGATTTTTCAACCAAACTGGGAACAAAATTGGGTATTAAACATATAATAACATTATAATAAATAATAATAGAATGCTAAATAATAACTATAATATCAAATTATCGAGATTTAATTATAATATGTGGATATGAAATTAGACGGAAGTCTTAGCAACTCCATGATCATTAAGAAGCTTAAAGAACCTTATTAAACCATTCTCTTTAATACACCTGATAGACTGGATAAAGACAATACTAAATAACATATATTATATAATACACATCAATAAAATATACAAAACGAGGGAACATAAATAGAAATTCATGAACCCGAATAAAAATAAAACAATTTAACTATATAGGAT